ATTCCCTCCGGTACGCCTCGGCACATTGCCGTACCTCTGGGACCTTGTTCCTACTTTGGGTCTAAGACCTCCGGATCCCTCTATCTTACCTTCGGTCCAGCCCCTCAGACTTATCAGACTCCTTCCGGAGCTTCCTTGAATTATTCATGAGTGCATTCCTATTCATCCTTATTGTTCTTCTGCTTTCCAAGCACTCCCATCTGATTTGTAGTTATTGTCTTCCACTACGCACCCACATGCTTCCATCTGATCCGATCAGTGATCCCATCATTTCCTCATCATGTGTGTCTGTACTTATTGTTATATCTTACTTCCCTCGGACTTCTCTCCAGATTCAAACATACAATAAAACTTCCTCCTATATAAGCTAGAGTATCTTGTCCAAGTACCTTAGCTTCAAAATTCGAGTGTTTAGTGGGCAGACGTTGTGTGCAAGTCACTCCCACGACTTGATTCCTTCTCCAGCCAAATCCCTCTGGCCTTCCTCCTCCGGCTTTGACTTCTTCCTCTTATATGTTGTTGCCTCGCCTCCGGTCGTCATCCGTCGGTCATCCTCTTGCTCATGGCCTTCCGGATTATGTTCCGGATATCTCTGGACTCCGGTTCCGGCCCCTCTGGCCTGGACCTCCGCCCGGAGTTCTCAGGATTCTATTCCACTTCATTATTTTCATCTTCGTTCGGTCCTAGGTCCTCCCGCCTCTGATCTTCTGGTTCAACTGTCCAGCCTCCTTCCGGTTCAACTGTCCAGCCTCTCACCTTCTGGTTCAACCGTCCAGCCTCCCTCTTCTGGTTTGACCATCTGACCACCTTATGGTTCGATGGTCCGGCCTCTTTCTGGTTCAACCTTATGGCCTCTGTCCTCTGGTTCTCCAGTTGGATCCTCTGATCTCCAATCTTCAATCTCCAATGTTCTGGACTTCGGACTCCGGCCTCTGGCTTTTCATTCCACTTGCCATACCTTCCCACAGTCATGCAAACCGGGTAGTGGTGTCACGCACCTTATCACCTCTTGTCCCGTGTCGTGTTCACCGAACCACTGCATTCCTTCACATCAATTCCTCCACCGTATGCCCAGGTCCAGATCATTTTCCATTTTGTCCTCGGATTATGTCCTCCTCCAGACCGGGACATAACAGTATTTTGAAGCTCCCCTATCTGGGTTTGCTTGGTATTCATCCATGTTTGCCAATGTCCGCCTTTGAGAAAGTGCTGCCACTCCTCTAAGGCTCGGATGATTGCAAGCATCTCCTTGTCGTGGATCACATAGTTCCGTTGGACGTTGTTCAAGCTCTTCGCTTCCGAGGACAGATGGACGGACGGAAAAGCAGCCAGAAAAGCGGCTGGAGCGGGGGTTCCCCTGACACCTGGGGTGTAATATGATATCCATATAATATGACACACCAAAAATTGTATCAATATCATATTTTGGACGGCACTAATCAGGGGGATCTGAGAAGCGGGCATGCTGGTATAAAATACCTGCCACTGAAGTGCGTCATTTCCGGGAGCTGAGTGGGTAAGATTTGAGCACGAGCAGAGTTGAGCAGCAGCAAGGGTCCGGTTCCCCAAGCATGTCAACGGGGCCCTTGAGAAGGTCTTCCCGGGTTAATGTGGCCGGAGTCCAAGATGAGACATTTTTTCCAATACTGGAGTTCATTGCCATTAGTCGAAGCGATTGTGTATCCAGAACTGCTGGATGAAAAATTTCGCGTACCGTACTATTTCGATCAATTCGTGTTCAATTTGGAATTTTTGATACAATTAAAATCCAAAAGAAATCCGACAAATCGAGAAAAAATTATTGCCGCAATAAAAAAAAAAGTGGCTGTGATGCGTGACAATGAATTGAATGAAATAGTACAGTATGGGCTCGCGGGCGTTCGATGTTTGCCTTGGTTCAATATAATTTTCGCTCGGGTGTTTCGAAGCTCACCTTGAACTTGGCCCAGGCTTGAACGTTCTTTAGTTTTACTCGGCCTAAAATGCCTAAGAACTGATCGCAACGGAATGTTCCGAACACTTACTATACAGCCTTTACAATGACCACTATATCGACCGCCAGAGACTCTGTAATCTTCACACCACTCATGTACCCATGCGGGATCTCCTCGTCACCACACCACTCATCAGCAAAACTTGGCCCTCATGCTCACCCCGACTCTGCACTGTGCAGCGCGTCCTCTTCTTCCACCCAGACCTCTTCTCTGCGCCCGTAGAACCCGCTGTTGGCGGAAATATTTCCTCCTTTCTTCACTCCGGAATGGCCCGGCACCACGCACGCTATCAGAGCCATGCCCTGGTCCAAAGCACCCGACGCGTTCAAGCGAGTGGACGCGAGCTGGGCCCTGGCGGCGCATGCTTGTCAAGCTGCCCCCTGCGCAGACACTGATCCTCGAAGAAACGTACTTCGGGCAGTCTGGAAAATGCGCACCAACAAGCGGTGGTAAATGGTTTATCGCTGCGGATGGGCGACCTCTAGGACCTCGCGGTGCCTTATAGCGATTGTGCGATGGGGTGCACTTTCTGCGTGCACCGGCCCGGCGACGAAGTTCAGCTCGAGGGCGAATCCGGCCTTACCCTCGCGGTCACTTACACCGAGAGATGTGACCCGAAACGCTCGGGCGGACTGGGCGACTTTTACAGTGATGGATTCAGAGAAAACGCCGGCCACCAGATCGTTTTTTGGAGACTGGGTCCTCCCAGATTTGGATTGAATGTAACTCGGCGACAATAAAATCCCCGTTCTGGTTCTCCCTCCCTATCCATCGAGGGCATATTCCTGATTCAACCATTTCTCACCTCTGGTTCAAGTTCGATGTACAGTACCTGGAGGCCTGATCCTCAAGAACCTTGTTGGACACGGCATGCGCCGGTGTATATGGCGCCAATAGTATTCTGTGGGGACTCCAACAACACAGCCCATATCTCGAGTCCGAGTCGGGTGTTGAAATATATACTCCAGTCAGACATGGTGTGAGGTACACCCGTTAATGGAGATGCGGCGAGCGTCCGGGCTTCGATTCCTCACGTCTGAAGTTGATCCACGGGATCTTGGCATGCTTTTTCTTCTTGAGTACAAATGTTGTGGTGAAAACCTTCGCAGATCTACGGAGTCCAATCAGATGTGGGTGGGGTACACCCTCGCCCTCGTTTTCATTCTTCTCGTGTCCAGCGAGCGTCGCAACCTCCGGCGCCTGAATCCAGTTATTCTCGCAAGCGATCTCTCCCTGCGTTCCCCTGCGAGGCCATGCTGCATAGATATAGGTCCTCTAATCAGACCTGGTGTACGGTACACCCTCGCTTTTAGTGCAGACACGGCACTTAAAAATGCAGTGAACGTCCGGGGTTCGATTCCCCGTGTCTGAGTGCGCTGCGTTGCCTTCAACAAGTTTTTTGACAAATTTCTGTCTCGTTTTTGATCTTTCTGTCCCGTTCTATTTCTTGGATTATTCTATTGAGAAACCCCGCTTCCAAGGGAAACCCCACCTTTTGGGCATCCCCTTGAAATCGCTATTGAGGAACCCCTCTGATGTTGGCCGGATGTCCGGATCAGCGATCACACTTTGGCACCTTCGCTAATACAACATACAACCTGAAGTCTCCTGCTGGACTTTTTTTGACACCCTCGGCATGTCGGTCATGCCACTAGCTGCGTTGCTCCAGCTCGGAGGCTCCTCGGTCCGAATTTTGTGTTGAATTTGTGGGATGCCACTTCTCTGGTTGTCCTTGTTGTCGCCATTCTGATCTCGTTCCAGTCCAACAAGAGCTGGAACATCCGAAGATGCTCGCTCAGTCGCGAAGGAGGCCGTCACTAAGGCATATTATTTCTCCAAGGTAAACAATGCGCTCCAATTTGGTGTTCACATTTTCACTTACCTCACTAGATTTACATTTTAACAACAACAAAATGGCAGTGGAATCCGCTCGGCGCTCGCACCCTAGTCGCCCATTTGTGCACCGCAGATATCATGCCTTCGTCCGAGTTGGAACACTTTTTTTGGCTTTGCCAATTCGGTTAAAATACGGTATCAGTTGGTTTTTTGTGTTTTAATTCATGTTGAACTGTTGCTACAAATTCTCTCTCGGGAACGATTCAGCGGCCGTTTGTACAAATCAATGCGAGTCAGGTGATCGCGTCCATCAACGGCGCCGGCGGTCTTTCCGGACACCCGCCGGCGAGAAACCCCTGAGAATCTGGGTTTCTAAATAACATTATTTTTCGAGCTGGGGTTTCCAGGGGGTTTCCCTTGGAAGCGGGGTTTCTCAATAGAATAATCCCTATTTCTTTCGCTTTTATTCGTCTGTCGCGTCTCAACAGAATTTGCGTGTCGCCGGAATTTGCTCTTACTGCTTCTTAAGCTTCTTCTCATTCATTCGTTGGCAGATTGTCGATTTCCGAGATGAAACGAACCTTCGTACTCAACAACTTGACAACAATGTGGGTACGCGATGGCGCTGGAAACAAAGGTCTAAGCCAGGTGAGAGATGGATAAAGGGAAGCCTGTCCATGATATCGAGGACATATTTCTTGTTCAACCATTTCTCACGTACGGCTGGTTCAAGTTCGATGTACAGTGCCTGGAAGCCTGACCCTCAAGAAATCGAGCCTGTTCACGTGCGTAACTAAACGACACCATAGTATTCGGTGGGGACTCCAACCGCAAAGCCCATGTCGGGTGTTGAAATATGCACCCCAATAACACGTGGTGTAAGGTACACCCTCGCCTTCGTTTATAATTGGAGAAAAGCTTGGGCGAGCGTCCGGGGCTCAATTCCTCGCGTCTGAATGGCTAGGCGTATCCTGACGTTTTTTCTTCTTGGCCTCCCGCTTTGAGGTGAAAATCTTCGTAGTTCAAGCGGCCGTGGCGTAACACCTAGCTTTCATTCTTTTTGTGTCCAGCGAGCGTTGCAACTCCCGGCGCCCGAATAATCCACTCGTTCTCGCGAGTTATCTCTTCTTGCGCTCCCCTCAGGCTGGTGCATGAATATAAGTCTTCTGATCAGACGTGGTGTAAGGTACACCCTCGCTTTCATTGTGTGCTCTCAATCATTTCACGAGATCAGCGAGCGTCCGGGGTTCGATTCCTCGCGTCTGAATGCCGCCAGAATTCTGTCCTATTTTTTTTTTCTTTCCCGTTTGTTCACCTGCGTCCAAAAGGAATTTACGGTTTCTGTTGCTTCTCCTTGTCCATCCTTTCTTTCTTCGTTCTTCATTCTTGTCTTGGGATCGAAACGAACATCCGCAGTCAATAATAATATGAGTAATAAGTATGCGACGACATTGGAAAGGGACGTCCAAGGTCCAGGTTAGAGAGATCTAGATTCTAGATGGAGAAACAGAAGCTTCCCGACACAGATATCGATATTTGAGCGCTGCAGAAACAAGCACGTTGTGATCGCGCCCTTGCATTGGGGTGCTATTATGTGTCACGATGCCCGCTCTGCTGCGCGTTTGCCCTCCGGCGCGAGCCGAGGCCGAAACCAGTAGCCGCGGCCAGCCATGTCCCGCGCAAGGCTCTCCCTCGTTTCGACGTCCCGTCAGCGTCACGCATCGAGTACCCCTCTCTCCCCCCATCTCTCCCCAATCGCCACCACACACCCCCTCCCATCCAACTCCCTCCACTCCCCCCACTCCTCCCACCCCCGCGCACGGCCCCGCCCCCGCGACCCACCCGGGCCCGTCCAGCACCACGCGCTCCAGCGCCCCAAACGCCGCCCCGCACAGCGCCGCCGCGTGCGCCCTGACGCGCCGTAGCGCCTCCCCGGCGAGCCGCTCCGCGCCGAGGTACAGGTGCACGCACGCGAGCGCGCGCGCGCGCGCGTCGGGCGGGGGCAGCGCGTCGGTGGCGGAGAGGCGCGCGGGGGAGTAGTGCAGCGCGGCGAGGGCGGGGAGGAGCGCGAGGATGGCGGGGAAGGGAACGCGCGGCGGCGGGGCGGGGGGGAAGGTGGCGGGGGCGGGGGGCGCGGTCGTCGAAGAGAGTGAGGGTGCGCAGCGCGGGGAGGACGGGGAGGGCGGGCCATTCGAGGTGCGCGGGCGCGATGGTGAGGTGCGTGAGTTGGGCGAGGTTGGTGGCGTGCAGGATGGCGTGCACGCAGGAGGGTGTGAGCGGGAGGAGGACGAGGGATTGCAGACGGGGTAAGGGCGGAAAAACGGGCAGAGTAGCAGCGGAGAGGCCGGTGCCGATGCTGGGTGAGCTGGAGAGCGAGAGGTGCTGTATATTGGGCGCAGCGGCGAGGACCGCGCGCAGCAGGGGCGCTGACCAGGCGGTCTCGATCCAGTATACGCGTGTGAGGGATAGTAGAGGCGGGAGTGGGGTGTCCAAGGCAGCAGTGTAGAGGCGCTCGGACCGCGGAAACTCTGGCTGGACGAGGACGTTGATGTGTGGGCCGCAGTGTCGCAGCATGAACTCATTGTGGTGGAAGCGCGTCGGAGAAAGGCGCACATTGCGCACCAGGATCGCGATTTCTGGCTGCAAGAGGGCACTTGATAGCGAGAGCCAGCGTCTCGTCTCATTTACCCAGATGTTTTTCGTACAACAAGTCTTGCGCGAGCTTGGCCCATAGCCGACAAACACGCTGGAGGGAACGCGCGGCCTAAATCGACAATTAGAAGAAAGCCAACCGGCCAAGTTGCTGCACATCTACCTTGAAGAAAGGCTTCAAGTCTTTGTCGCTCATGGGATGCTCTGGCCCGATGTACCTGATAATTTCGTCCTGGGCGTGCAGTTTAGCCAGCGGCGAAATATCCGACAAGGCCAGGCGATGAATGTACATCCACAGTTCGGCCGGAAGATCTGGTGGGGAGCCGCGCGCGCCAGTCATCATGAACTTGCTCCCAGAGATGGTTTTGGGTGAAAGCAAGAAAGTAGTGACGAACACGATCGCCCAATCCTCGCCAATCGCGGTCATGTGGTGTTGTATCTTTCTATACGGGTCAATTCATGGCGGGTCTTCCAAGGTGCTCTTATATAGATAACTATGTTCAAACGTGTCGACTGCTCTATATAGATAACTATGCTAGCCCCCCCAAAAAAAATCGGATACGTGTCGCCACGACCTCAATGACCCTCTCTGAGTCAAATTGTGCGCAGCGGCGGCCACAGCGATCTGTCAAAGGTCTACGCTCCACATAAGTAACACTCGGTACCGACCACAGAGTCGAGGTCAAGAAGCTGTTCGATGCCTCAAAGTAGGACTCACGAAGGATCGCAAAGACCGAGCGGAATTACTCGGGGTCTTCGGGTGTCCACAGAGTACATTCAGCTCGACGACACCGTGCCGGTAAATACCGCTAATACATAACCTGACCACTCATCCACAACACCTTGCCTCTTCTCGCACGTCCCCTACAGCGCCGTCGCCTCGTCCGCATTCAAAATGAGCGTCGTGAAGAACGTGATCATCTCCACGAACGCGTCCGCCTTGATATCTACAAGTCGTACCAGTCAGAGTCAGCGTAGCTCGACAAGAAAACCGAAGAGAGGAATGTCGAGTCGAGGTAGAGGGAGAGGGAGAGGAGGAAGAGACAAGCCACAAGCCACTCACGCTCATCAACAGTATGTATATTACCCAGCCCCTCGCTCCCGTGCCCGTAGCGGAAGATGTGCTTCGACAGCTCCCAGGTGAAGCGCGTGTCTGTTAACATTCACTCTCACCTGTTAGCGTACTATATCGCGGGTGCAGACGGACGCACCAGTGTTCGCGGTCATCACCCCCGGCGCGACGTATATCTCCTCCTCCTTCTCCTCCTTGACGCCCTTGCTTTTCCCGCTCCGCGCAGCCCGGAACGTCGCCCGAATCGTCCCCGCCAGCAGCGCATACGCGCTCCCGCTGCTCGGCGTGACCGGCGCGGGCTCCAGCGTCCGCGGCGCGCTGAGCTCGAGGGTCCCGTATGCCGCCGCTGCGTCCGCCGCCGAGGTGAGCTGCTCGCCGTATGCGGTGACGCTGAGGTCGAAGCGCGCTGCGAGGTCGCGCACGAGCTGCGCGTCGCGCGCGGTGGTGGCGTTGACGGAGCTTTGGGTCGCGATGCGGTGGTTGACCACGGCCTGTGTAGTACATCCAATAGTCAGCGCCATTCACAAAGAAAGACGATGGGTGGAGGGTAAGGACCTGTAGAAAAAGAAACGCACCAGCGCCTGCTCCGGCAACGCATTGCTCTTCACGCCCCCGCTAACCATATCCACCGCCTGCGTCGTCCCCACCAGCGCGCGGAACATCGTGTCTTCCAACAACAACTTCTCCGCCTGCTTCCTTGCGCGCTCGCTCTTCGGGGCGCGAAGAACGGCGCGGCGCAGCTTGCGCGGGATGGCGGGGCGCGTGCGCGGCGAGGCAGGCAGCCATGCCGAAAGCGGGGGTGTCGACGTCGAGGGTGGGGACGGGGGCGTGGGCTTCGAGGTGCACGATGAGGGCGGCGAGCATGCCGATGGAGGTGTGGGCGGGGGGGACGCTGGGTAAAGAGAAGCGGTCAGTCGGTCGACATAAATAAGAAAGACAAGGGAAGATGAAAAGGAGTGAAGGAGGGAAGGGGGGAGGAAGGGAAGGGAGGAAAGGCCCACCTAGAATGCCCACCGGGGGTCTTTATCTCGATGTTCACGTTCACGGAGCCCTTTTCTGCTACGCCGGGCGAGGCGAAGGTAGCGCCGTATGTGTCGGTGAAGCCAGCTGTGGAATGGAGGCTCCGTCAGACTCAGAAAACAGGAAAAGTAGAGGGAGGAGGAGGGGCAGAAGGACGTACAGCCCTCGTCGACGATTAAGGCGAAGGAGTCTGGGCCGAAGCGCTCGAGGAGCGCAGGGCCGAGGTGGCCAGCGCCCTGTATTGATATTTCAGTCAGTATGATGCCGACAAGTCGAGTGGAGAAGGAGGCAATGGGAAGAGAAGACATACGTGGTATCCTCCCGCCTCCTCGTCGAAGCCAAAGGAGAGCACGACAGTGCGCGTCGGCTTGAATCCCTTCTCGAGGAGGACCTCGATGGTCGTCCTGCGCCGTATTCGATCAATCGAGGCAAGAGCAGAGTACGGACGGGACGTACAGGATACCGATGACGCCGCTCTTGTCGTCAGAGCTGCCGCGGCCCCAGACATTCTCGCCTGCAGAATGCATAGATGTAAGTATGAGTGACGATAAAATACGAAGTAGAGAGCCGCACCGTCGAAGTGTCCTGAGTACGCGGGGAAAGTCCACTGGTCGGCGCTGAGGGGAGCGACGGGGACGACGTCTGCGTGCAAACGAAAGTATCAGCAGGTTAGCTGTGAAGATCGCGAACGCGGTCCTACCGTAGTGTCCCATGAGCAGGATCGGCTTCAGACTCGCGTCGCTGCCTTGCCAGGTGTGGATGAGCCCGTACGTGTTCACTCTCTGCAGCGGCAGGTTCGCGGAACTGCCCACCCCGTTAGTCCATATCCACGGCCACGACGCAATTGCGACTTGGAATGAAACGAAATCGTCCTCACACAAGCGGGAACGCGCTAGCAAGGTGCTCAATGAACGGGCCGCGGGACAACCAGCGCTCGTCCTCGCCCACGGGGCCCATCCCGTCGAATGTCTCGGTAGGGATCTGGACGGCGGCGCTCAGTTGGGCGACGGCACGGTCGCGGAACGCGGTGGTCGCGTGGGAGGCAGTGAGCTCGTTCCAGAGCGCGCCGTTCTTCGAAGGAACGAGCGGGAACTCTTGGGGGCATACCCCCGCCGCGGAGTTGTGGTGCGAGACGGGGTTGGTGTGCCACTGGCAGACAATCGGCGCGAGGACGAAGAAGAAGCGGAGGAGGGCGGTGAGGGCGACGACGCTGAGGACGAAACGGAGGCGGGCACGCCGAGGAGGAGGGGGTGCGCCTCCGGGGAGTATGTCCGCCTGAGATTCGGATTTCGGGTCCATGGTGGGAGGGAGAGAGACTTGAATTTCGCCATTGTGTCGGGTCCGCCGCGGCGGAGATTAATGTCGTTACCTAGGTGCGGACGCACCCCCCATGCGCCGCGTGAGAAGCCCTTTCATTGAGCAACTCGAAGCTCTTCAAGCTCTCCATCTGGGCGGTTATCGTTGCTCCAATTCCAAGATTTTGGCCAGCTTCAAGCGGACTCCAAAAGGCTGAAAGGCGACCC